ACAAACCTCTTGAGCACACGGCCTTCACCCTTGATGAGACACTGCCGGGGGCAGACCCAGGAGTGGGCCTATCACTGCTACAGGCCCGGCTCCCAGCGCTCTGGGGACGCCCCTTCGGTCAGTAACAAGGGCCGGGGCAGCGGGACAGAGGAAGTCAGACAGACTTCTCTAAGCATGGTGCCCCAGCATGGTCAGTCCATTTGGGGAACCCACTCGAGCCAAACCCCTACTGCCATCCCACAGCTGGCAAGGAATCCCACAGGCCTCTGCGGATGCAGACTGCTCTTGTCTCAGGGTTGGACGCTCAGACTTGCCAGGCAGTGACCTGAAGGATTTTCGCCATCGCTTTTAGGGCAGGCTTTCAAATTTAACTTCTGCTGTCATGTGACCCCTCTAACTAACGGAAACGCAACTCAACTCAACTGGTTCCCAAAGGAAACTCCCTGCTTCCTTGTAGGGCCGTGAGCCAGTTCTTCAAGGCACCCATTTGGCACCCCGGGGAAGGGTGAGGAGTGAGTGGTGCTCAGGTCAGGGGCAGCCATCTGCTTGTCTGGCTTCCATTTGACCCCTTGGCGCATCTTTAGCACTTGCCTCTGGATCCTTCCCAGTTCTCTCCACCCTTCTCACAGGGGTTGGGAGACCAAAATCGGACACATGGCTCTGCCGGAGGCCTAGGCACGGCTGAGAGGAGCGACGCTGACCCCTGCCATGGCCTGCAGGCTGTGCTTCTGCCAGCTTCACCTCACCCAGCGCGTGCCTTTCAGAAACGGCAGGATGGATCCGCGCCCTGAGGGATGTGGCTGTATCGCCCTAACTCCAGGGCAGACAGCACTAGGTCAAGGGAAGAATTCTCCCAGCGGAGGGGGACTGCCTCGGTGACGGGAGAACACTTGCCATCGGGCCAAGCAGTGTTTTCTGCAGAGCTACGGCCACACGGCTCCAGCGTTTTCCATCCAGACACGTCCTCAAGCAGCTCTTCCAGAAAAGCGATCGGTCTGGCTCTGCGGACACGGGGAGCTGGAGAATCCCCCGTCTTCCCCACAGTTTCCCCCAAAGGTGAATCACCCTCCGTGCCAAAGCCTCTGCTGGGGGGCAGCACGGGAGGAGAGACAGAGAGCCCCCCCCAGCCTGACTTCTGCCCCCTCTGCAACCCCCGCCACTGCCCGCCAGTTCCCATCAGCACCTTGCTGTGGCCTCCTCATGCCTCAGGCCGTTTGCAGCAGGGGCGAGACTGAGCCCCACATGGGTGCCCCTGGATCCCCCTCTTTGGACTTGGCTCCTCCTCGCTCCCCCACTACAGCAGCTGAACCTGCTTGCTTGCCCCACACACCCCTCGTGGCCCCATGTGTTCCCCTTCCTACCCTGGGCCTGGGAAT